AAAACCGTGTCGGACCGTGGGAAGCTTAGCCCACAAGTGTGGGCTAAGGTGGTCTTCTTCCTTCCTGAGTGAGAGCTGAGCCTCTTTGTCCCTGTCGCTTGTCTTTCCGGCAGGAGAAGGAATGAGCCAGGCAGCTACCATATGCAAGTCCAACTTTAAGGTAAGCTTGGAAGCTGGGCAGGCTGCTCGTGGGAGGGAGGGGGGGGGCCTCTTCCTGGCAGGATCGGGGGTGGCGTCCGTCTCCCTGGGGAAACGATGTGGGTCTCATGCGGGCCCCTCGGCCCCAGGGGTGGCAAATCTAAGAAGCAAGGGTGGGGGTGGGGGCACTGAGAGGTAGAGTGGGTGCGGGGGGCCGCCGTGCGGGCTGCGTGTGCAGCAGGCCCGGCTCCACCCTGCCCCCCGCCCGCAGCACATGCACTGGACAATGCTGCAGCAGCTCGCTCACCACTCCGTCAACGGCTGCAACCTGCGGCCGGGGGACCTCCTGGCGTCCGGAACCATCAGCGGGCCGGTGAGTGCCTCGCTGCCCTGGGCCGGCCGTGTAGCGCGAGCTCCCCTGCTCCCCGCACAGCTGAGGGGGTGGGGGGGCCCCAGCTCACCCTGAGGAGGGATTCCAGCCCCAGGTGGTGTGTTCGACTCCTCTGTCCTACTCAGCTTCCTCCGTGTCTGGGTGCAGAAGGGGCTCCCTTTCCAAACTCAGCACCGAAGAGAGGGCGCAGGAATGGGAGGCTGTGTCTGTCAGCGCGGGGAGAGGCGGGAAACAGCCAGAGCGTGTGGCTGGATCCTCCCGGGATGAGGGGGCCTGCTGCTGTGGCCTCTCCCCTCCCCTCCCCTCCCCCCGTGCCTCTCTCAGCCCAGGGGAGAGCCTGGGAACCCCAGAGATGGTGCGTGTGCCAGTCTCTCCCTCAGGGTCCGGCCTCTTGTTTCCGGCGGGCAGGGCTCTGGCCCTCCCTGAGCCCCGAGCAAAGCGGGCAGGGGCAGGGTGCAAGCCTGGAGGCCCTTCCCATCGTGGTTCCACCACGGCCGGGTCCCTGGGGAGACGCGGGGCCTGCCGCCCCTGCCTGGGGCTCCCGGGCCTTGCTGAGCCCTGGCCTCGCCGGAGCCCACAGGCTTACCAAGAGGTAAGTCCACGTGACACCTTCTTCCCTGCCCCCTTGCAAAGGACCCAGACAGCTTTGGCTCCATGTTGGAGCTGTCGTGGAGGGGGATGAAGGCCATTGAGCTGGGGAACGGGCAGACCAGGAAGTTCCTGCTGGACGGGGACGAAGTCGTCATCACAGGTGAGGGCGGCCAGTCGTGGCCGCGTCTCCTCAGCCGCGTCTCCTCGCCGGCACGCGCCGCCGCGCCGGCTCTGCGGCCGGTGCCTTGCTTCGCCCCCCTGCGGCATGCCCGGGCTCTGTCTCCTCGCTCTGCCCTGCGCCCCAGCGTGGCCACCGCGGGCTCTGAATCCAACTCTCCCCAGGCCAGAAGGACCTCGGAGGCCCCGCTCTGTCCCCCTTCTCCCTCTCCCTCAGCAGAACGGCAGAATAATGCCCGGTTCCCGTCATCCTGGGCCTGGCAGGGTAGGGACCCTGGGTCCGGGCGTCCGCCCTGCCCACGGAAGCAGGGAGGTGGCGGCCAGCTCTGCCCTCTACCAGGACAGAGAGGGCAAGAGAGAGGACGTGGCCGCCGCCTGCACTCAGGCAGCGGGAGGGGTGGTGTCGCCGTCCCTCCTGGGCCGGAAGGACAGATGAGGCGCAAACACCATGACCTGGCTGCCCCGGGGACCCCCCCGCCCCCTCATGACTGCACATGCGGTGTGTGCCTCTCCCGCCCGCCCGCGCCGCTGCCTCGCAGGGCTGCCCGCTCTGCCCAGCACACCCTCTCGTCCGCCTTCCCTGGGGGACGCCTACGCCCCCCACCATCCACTCCCAGTTCAGATGCCCCTCCTCCCGTCCCCTGCGTCCCCCCCCCCCACGCCGCGCTCTCAGCGCCTTGCAGGTGTTTCTCCTCTAACTCCCGTCCCTCCCCGAGGACAGGGATGCCCTCCTCCTCCTCCCCTTCCTCCTCCCTGCCTTCCCGTCACTCGGGCCGAAGTGGGATCCGATGACGGACACTAACACTGGCTGCGCGCCCGCTCTGCGGGAGAGATCACGCCGGGGGCTTCACGGGGCTGTTGCACCAAACCCTCGCACGCCTGAGCGATCGGGACCGACTGCAACTCCTGCTTGCGGGTGCGGGCACTGAGCTCGGAGTTGCAGCTAATTGCCCCCTCACCCAGCTTATGGCTGTCACAGTGGCTGATATTCGCTGCTCAGTCGCCGTTCTAGGAACTTTCTGTGTGTCCACGTCACCTTTGCGCCAATCCTGGGCTGTGCTTACTGTCATTACACCCATTTCCCAGATGAGGAGACTGAGTTTCAGAGGGGACACAGGTCACGGAGCCAGTAGGCAGAGAAGCCAGGCTCTGAACCCAGGCATCTTGCTTCAGGCTAATTTGCGGACCTGGGGTTTGAACCCAAGGCCACACGGAAAGCTGTGGAGCATCCTTGGGCTGCTTCTGAGGGTCCGTGACTTGGGGGGCGGGCCTGGGGTTCCACCGCAGGTGCTCCTGCGGCTCCGACAAGCTTCTAGAGCGTGGCCTTCTGCCTGACACGCCCGTCTGTCCTCCTGATGGCGCCCCCCTGTGGCGGGCTCCGACGTGTGACGGGCGGCGGCCTGGGCCTTGGCTCCGGGGAGCCCAGAGGCTTCGTGCTGACCCCTGTCCCCCTCTGTTCCAGGACACTGCCAGGGGGACGGTTACCGCGTTGGCTTCGGCCCGTGTGCCGGGAAAGTGCTGCCCTCCCTCTCGCCAGCGTGAAGTAAAGTGCTCGAAGTAAAGGGCTGGACCCCCACCCCACCCCGGGGGCCGGGGCCCCTCCGTGGGCCGGCCCTCGCTCCAGTAATAAATAAAGCCACTGTGCCCTGTGCCCACACCCAGCGCCCCGCCTCGTCGTAGCAGGCGACGCGGCGGCCACCCACCCTGTGTCCGAGTCGACCCGGTGGGTCCAGGTGTGTGCCGCTCGCTGCCTTGGGAGACACCCACCAACCTGTTTTCCCTGGAGAGGCCGAGGGCCTCTGCGCGGTGTTCCGCCCCGACACCCCAGGCCTCGAGTTTTCCCCGGAGTGGGGAGAGAACGACACCCGGGTCGGGGTCTCAGAGAAGCAGAACCACCAGGACGTGTGCGCGTGGGAGGGGTCGAGTTTGCAGACACGGCTCGTGGGGCTCTGGGCGCCCCACGTCCAGAATCCGCGGGTGGACAGCTGGCCACAGACCCAGGGAGGGAGCGGTGCCCTGGGACCTGGTGGCAGGGACAGCCGGGGCCCAGTGCAGGTCATCCTCCCGCGGTCCGTGCTTCCTGCCCCCCGCTGTGTCCCGGAGGGTGGCCTCTGTGCACAGCGCCACCCAGGGGCTTCGGGTCCGGGCGGGGCAGTGGAGGCACAGGCAGAGCGAGGGACGCAGAGTGGGGGCACAGGCAGAGCGAGGGACGCAGAGGGAAGAGCCGCGGTGTCTGTCTTCTCACCCCCTCCCTGCTTGGCCGCGGTGTGGGGGTGGCTGCGTCCCTCTGCCGGTGGCCCGGCAACCCCTGTGGGATTCTGGAACCGCTGTGTCCCTCCCCAAGGAAAGGACGGTGACGGCCCCTCACTCCCCTCAGTCCTGGGTTACTCCCCACCCCTGGCAGCGACTGTGCTTTGGAAACTTTTTTTTTTCCCAGGCGGCCTGTCAGAATAGGACCCATTTTGGGGACACCGGGGCTGGCAAGGGACCCTGAGCTTCCTCTCCACGGCAGGCCTCTCTGGTGGGCAGTGGCCCTGCCTGGGGGGGGCGATGGGCCGAGCGCTTTCCGAGGAGGGGGCGTTCCGGTGGCCTCATTTCACTCCGTGGCGGGTTGTGAAGACTGGGGACGGTGACAGCTGTGTACAGCAACAGCCACCATGGCCCTTGAGGCCGGCGCCGGCGCTGGGACGGGTGGCCTGAGCGTGGCTGTGAGCAGGGGTCCTGGCTGGGGGTTCCGTCTGGCGGAATCGGCCCTGGGAAGGCGAGGAGAACCGGGGTGCCTGGTCTGTGCGGGGGGCGAGGCGGGGCACCTGGAACCTTGGCTCCTCCCAGCCCAGACCCCGGCCTCTCCTGGGGCGGTGGCATCCAGGAGGGGCACCCGGGTCGCCTGAGTTCTGTCATTTCGTCCCCACAGCGACCACGACCGTGGGAGGGAGACGTCCTTCCGCCGTGTCTCCGACGAGCACACTGGGCTCGGGGAGGCCGAGTCGTTTGGGGCCGCGCAGCGAGGGAGCAGAGGGACCGACCGGGGCCTCGGGCCGGGTCGTGGGCTCAGCTGCACGGTCCCTGCGGCAGGGCCGCGGGTGTAGGTGACGGGGTGACGGGTGGGGGGGGGAGGGGTGACGGGGGGGAGGGGCTGGAAAGAAGAGGGAGGAGGGAGGCCCCAGGAGACACACTGCCAACAGCCTGGCCCTTGCCTCCTCCCGCAACTACCGCTCATTTCCCGCAAAGCACCCCCGCCCCGTCCTTTCCCTCGCATGACAGCCTCCCACGAGGGGGAAGAAAAGGCGCCAGGCTCCCCCCCCCCCCCCGTCGTGGAACGAGGGAACCGTGGCCCCGAGAGGCGCGGTGACGCGCTCACGGTCACGCAGCCTCGGAGCGGCCGAGGGGACTAGAACCCAGGCCTCCCCGGCGGCCGTGGTCACTCACGTGGTGGACTGGGCACCCGGAGGACGTGACTAGGTCAGATAACTGTGTGTGTGTGTGGGGGGGGAAGTACCAGAAGAACGGAAGGTTTGACCCAAGGACATGATTATTAAACTGCGACCTCGCCACCTGCCGGGATCCTCCGCGGCCGCTCGCGCGTGGGGTGCGGGGGTGTCTGGGGGAGGGGGTGTCTCCATGCCGCGGCCGGGGCGGGGCGACGCCGAGCGTGCCGTGCGAATCTGTTTTAAAAATACGAGTGAAAAAAAGGCCGGGAGAATATTTCAAAGTGGCGGCTTCTGGGAGGGGAGATTATAAGTGTTATTTCCTCCCTTTCCTTCTATTTTTTTTTTTGTATTTCCCCCAATTTCTAAAATGCACATTTCACCTGCAGCAGGAAAAATATACCCCTCTCTCTTTTAGTTTAAAAAAAATACGGCTGGGAAGCGGCCCCGGCGCCTTGGGTGGGTTTTCGGGGGCGACACCTCCATCTCTGTCCGCGCTGGCGCGCTGGGTGGCGCTTGGGTTCGGGGGGGAGGGACACCCGAGCCGGGAGCCCCCGGGGCCGGTGCACGTGCTCCTCCGCATCTCCGGGGCAGAAGGTCCCCTCCACGCGAGACCGCTGTGGTGTGACGGAGGGGCGTCTGCGCTGGAGCCAGGGCGGGCGACCGGCCACGTGACCCCCAACGGGCGGCGTCTGGGCCCCCCCCAGCACCCCAAGCGCGTCCCTCTGGCGCTCGTGTGAGAGCAGGCGAGGCTACAGTGGCTCTTCCCACCCCGGGGGCCAAGTCCACCCCCCCCCCCGTGTCTGCGGGGACGCCCCCCGCGCCTCAGTCGTCCAGGTGCTGCTCCTCCCAGGTGGAGGTGGGGATGGCGCTGTAAGGGTCCATGATGACCTTGGCGCAGCGGATGATCATGACGACGAGGAAGAGGCAGAGGAAGACGAAGCAGGCCAGGGTCAGCCCCTTGTCCACATCCACGTAGACGGGCTCGGGCGTGGGCTCCTCCATCGCAGGGCGGCGGCTGCAGGCTCCTCCTCCGGCTCCAGGCTGCCTGGTACCATCTTCCGCCCCTGCAGAGCGCCAAGCCGTGGCAGGGAGGGTGGTGCCCATTGGTCCCGGGTCGGGGGCAGGGCGCCAACTCCCTCTTCATCTGTCTGTGCCGGGGGAGTGGCAGCTTGCTCCCGCCGCGGCCCCGGATCCAACCGCACCACCGCCAGCCCAGGATTCCTGGAGCGCTTGGCTGGACATTGCGCTCCGCCTCCGCTCAGTCATCTGATCCTCAGGGCAGCCCCGGAGGCCAGTTAGGCAGCTATGGATACTACGGTTTTACGAACACGAAAATCGAGGCCCAGAAAGGGGATGTGGCTTACGCACGGCCCCACACCCCAAACCACAGGCCTCTGCAGGCCTCCCCGATCTCTGGCGGGAGCAGTGCGCTTCCGTCTCCCCCACCCCCTCCGCAGCTGCAGGACACACAGGCGCAGGCTTCCGGCTGGCAGGTCCTGGCACACCTGACACCACAGGGGACCACGCTGTCCCCTCTTCACACCTTGCCTCCCTCCTCGCCTGTCCCCGGAGGGCACTCACCTGCTGGCCGGAGTGGTCACCTCTTCATAAGGGCCACAGGGTGGGCCGGCCCCCTGGGTGGGGCTGCTGCAGGAGGAAGAGGGGGTGGCGAGACATCACAGCCGGGAGCCGGTGAGAGCAGTGACCTTCCCGTGGAGGGCAGGCACCGGCGCTGGCGTGGCTGAAACACAGCAGGACACAAGGCCAGTTGCTTCCCGAGGCGCCCGGCCCCAGAGGTGACCCGGGCTGGCAGGAGGGACTGGCCTGTGCAGCTCCTCCCCGGGCACCACGGGGGTGTCCACCACGCTTGATTCTAAGGCTGCTTTTTCTTTTTCTTCTCTCTTTTAAACATCACAACTTTAGACAAATTATGGTCAGACATGAATAACAAAATTCGCCATCCTGAGCATTGCTAACGAACTGTGCAGGTCAGTGGAATGAAGCCCATCCACGACGTGCAGCCACCCCCCACCCCCAGCCGCCTCCGGGACTCTCTCCATCTTGCTTGCAAAACGCAGACTCCACAGTTGCTGGGCAGGGCGCTGGGGGACGGGGTGAGAAAGGGGACGGGGTTGAGAAGTGCCGATCGGTAGTTACTACAGAAGCGCCACAGGGATGTGAAGCACAGCAGAGAGATACAGTCGGTAATGTTGTAATGACCGCGTGTGGTGCCAGGGGGGTCCTGGGAACATCGGGGGTCACTCTGTAAAGTATACGATTGTCTAACCCCCGTGCTGTACGCCTGGAACTAGTATCAAATAATACGAAGTGTCAGCTGTAAGTGAAAAAATGGTTCTAGCCCTGGCCGGTACGGCTTAGCTGGCTGGAGTGTCTCCCAAACACCAAATGTTGGGGGTTCGATTCCGGTCAGGGCGCATACAAAAGGCGGCCCATCAGTGTTTCTTTCTCACATTCATGTCTGTCTGTCTGTCTGTCTCTCGTTCCCCCTTCCTCTCTCTCTAAAATCAATGCGTATATTATCAGGTAAAGATAAAAAATACAGAATCACTGACCTGGTCAGCGACCCCCTCGTGCCATGTCATAGACGAGAGACTAGAACGCAGGGGGGAGCAGAGGCCCCCTCAGAGTCCCGGAGCGAGGGCACAGCCGACCTCGGAGCGAGCCCCGTGTCTGACCCCAGCCGGGCCTGTGTCTCAGGGCCCGTGGCACTGGTTCCACGTGGCTCTCGGGGAAGGATGAGTGGGCAGCAGTTTCGCGCTGCTGAGTTTCACAGCAAGACTCGGTCTGGCCGCTCAAACCCTGACTCTGAAGTCCCGAGCCTGAGGGAGCCTCGAGTGAACAGGGGTGCCCCGCGCAGACTGCAGAGGTCAGACCCAGAGAGACGGCCTGGCGGCCCTCCCCTGTCATCGTGGGGCCAGGGTCAGGGCCTCTCACCTGGCGACAGACCGCAGAGGAAGACACAGTGTTTTCCAGCTCCTTCCGCCTGGAGCGAATGCCAAGAACAGGCGCTCGGGGAACAGATGCGCCTCCCTGCCCTCCAGATGGCGCATGCCTGCCAACCTGAACGCTCGGAGCACGGGTCCCCATCCAGCTCCGTGTACACGCGAGGCCGTGACCCCCAGGGGGGAACACGGCTGCCGTGCCCTGGGGGCTGGGGGGCTAATCTCCCCAGCAGCCAGCTAATCTCACAATTGCACCGCCCTTCCGCACCGAGGCTGCACAGCCACAGGGTCCATCTGCCAGGGTCTCGAGGCGCTGGGGGTGAGCCTGCTCCAGGATCGGGGGCGCTGATCCGGGTGAGTGATGTTGTGTCCGGCCGACCCGGCACGCTTGTCTGAGTGTGCGGCAGACCCCAGTGGAAGAGGCCGTGAGCTAGGACATGCAGCCTTTGTCGCACAGGCGGGTTGGGAGCCTTGGACTTGCAAGAGGTGTCATCTGTGACCACGGGCACCGCAGCCCCCGTCTGCCAGCACTCCGAGCCCTTTCCGCCGCCTCCTCTTCACTCCGGAAGGAGGCTGTGCCGAGCGCCCTTGCCCGCTTCCCTTGACCCGCCACGCAGAACAGATGTCCGTCAGCACAGCCAGCAGGGCCTGCGCCCGGGAGCCTCCAGGGCCTCCTAGGTGGCCTGGCTGCTGGGGACTGTCGTAAGCGTGGTCAATGCAGAGTCAGAGTTCTCCAAGGTGTGGTGGGAGTCACACCACTCCAATGGTGCCGAGACACTGTAGCACCCAGGGAAGCCCCTTTGCCTCCCGTCGCCGGGGGCTGTGCCCTGAACGAGGCCCGGCAGCCGTACTGGGGAGGTGTGGGTGGCCAACCGTGGGTGGGTGTGAGGGGTGAGGGTGGGTGGGACCCCGTAAGGGCAGAGTTTTCACTGGCTGTTTCGGACAGCAGCAGCAGCAGCAGCAAATGTTTTGGACGAGAGGCCAGAGCGGTCCTCTGGGGTGAGATGGGCAGCAGCACATGAAGAGAGTCCACACTCTGGAGAGCCATCATCGTCCCTCCTTCCCTGCCAAATGCCGGGAGTAAAGCGTCTCTGTCCTTGCCCTGCAAGGGTAAGTAATATGCCGCCGAGAGCCAGCGAGACGAGGTAGAGCGAGTGGACCTGGCCGCCTCCCACGGGGCTTGCCCACCAGCCACCGGCTCCTCCTCCTGGTCGTGGGGCGGTGACACCCGGCCCCCCAGCTGGCGGCTCAGATGCAGCGGTAAATACGGAAGAGTGTGACACGCGGTTGGAAGGCGCTTTGCGGACGCCCCTGGGGGCAGACTGCGGGAGGTGAGGAGAGATGCCCCCGGCCATCTGGAGCCAGGAGTCGGGCCCGTTGGAGGGTACCGCCGTGGGCCCCGCTCCGCCACCCTGCTGCCCCCCGTCTTCCGCACAGACACCGTCCCTCAGCACCTGGCTGAGTTGCACAGCCTCGCGGCCAAGAGCGTGGGCGTGCGAAGATCCATCCAGCGTGATGTTATTAATTACCCTTCTCCGTGTAGAGTCCTTGGAAGTGTCTGCCTGTTTTCTGCTGAACGCAGCCGTCCTGCTCAGGCTCTGCTGATGCTGTCTCCCTCCTGAGCCCAGCACGCAGGACTGAAACAAACAGATGAGGCCCGGGAATTTATGTGCAAAGCCCCGAGCTCGGGACAGTGGGGGACACTGGTGCAGGATGTGTCAAAGTCAACAGAAGTAACAATCATCCTTTCAATCTGGATGAAAAGAACCTCAAGCAGGGGCAGCCTGGGGGTGCTGGGCCCGTAGTGGCCTGCCCCTCAGGCCAGCAAGGGGAACCGAATTCTCCCAGGAGGACGTGCAGCACATTCAGAGGCCTCCGTCCCAGGAGAAGTGAGGCATCAGACTGTGCAAGCTCTCCCCTGGGTCTGTGCAGCGAAGGTGGCTGCAGGGGGACTGGCCGGCGAGGACCCAGTGGCGGTGCACGGTGCTGGCTGCAAGGATGAGTCAGACCCAGACACTGCCCTCTGCCATCCGAGCAAAGGTGACACAGTGACTAGGAATCGCGTCGCTAATTGGTTTCCTGGTGATGCTGATGCTGCTGGTCCAGGATCTTTCCCGCAGACAAGGGCAAGGTCAGCCCTGATGCCGTTAGGCACTTACCCCTGCTACGCCATCATCTGCTTTCCAGCCGCCTCCACGGAGAGGGACAGCATGCAGGGGCGGGAGGAGGGCCCGGAGCCAGACCTTGGGCTTTGAATCTCAGCCCAACCCCATTTACTGGCAAGGCGCCTTGGGCAAGAGATTTACCCTCTCTGGGTCCCAGTGTCCTCACGGGTAAGACGGGGGTGACGTTGGGAGCACCAGGACCATGGAGCCGGAGGGTCAGAGGGGTGACATCGATAAGGCACTGAGAACTGTCCCCTGGAGAGATGACGGTCCACACACCGGCGCCGCTGTTCCGCCCTGTACAGGCGAGGACGCGTGGCTGGGCCACTGGGGGCCTCAGGCCTTGGACGTCCCGGGCTATGATGCCCACCTGTCCACCAGGCATGCTGCTGGGTCAACTGTGTGTTGACCTCAAAGACTGAAGAGGCGATTCTGGTTATTTGTTCATAAAACAAATAACGGTCATTTGTTTTGCTTACAAATCTGGGTTAACTGGGCTCGGCTGCATGGTATCTCTTGCTAGGAGTTCTGACATGCAGTTATAATCAGCTGATGGTGGGCCTGAGTCCTCCGGAAGGTTCCTTCACCCACAGGTTGGGTGGCCAAGCTGAGAACATTCATGCAGCTGGGGCCGGGACAGGCTCCGCCGATCGCTGACATGTCGGCCCAAGGGTCACAGCCAGTGTCCCAAGAGAGACCAGCAAGGACCACGTGGCCTTTCTTAAGACAGATGTGGAAGTCACAAAATGTGACTTCTGCCTCATTTTAGACATTGAGGCGGCCACAAAGGCCCACCAGATTCAAGGGGAAGGGACATGGACTCCACCGCTCAAGGCCGTGACTGTCAAAGAATTTGGCACGTATTTTAGAACCACCCTGAGGCTCTGTCCCTGAAATCCACCTGCCTGCTACTCAGATGGCTCAGAGCCCTCACCAAACTCACTCTCTGAGATGTGTTCGCTCGTCCCTCCCGCCTGTCGCCACTGAACCCCGCTGCCTCGCGTTCGTGATCCGTTTCTTGGGCTTCGTTCTCACAGATTCCAGTTACGTAAGCCGGCAGATGAACAGCACCAGAGAGAGATGTAGATGATGAACGTGCCGGAGGAACAATGAAAATGACGTCATGCACCTGGGAACCTAGGGACTCATCAGTTCCTTCTTTTACAGTCTTCAGTATTCCCCCGAAACCTCCACAGAGTACATCTACCTATAACTGGAACAACCAGAAAAAAAATTTTTTTTCCCCAGAACAAATATATTGAAAACTAGATGTTAAATGTCTCTTGTTCTGAACCGAAGTCTTAGTAACAGCTATTCAGGTATGAAAGCCTTTGCCCTTCAAAGGAGCGCATCGCTGCTCCAAAGTCATTCTATAAAAAGGCGAGAAAAGTATCGTAACAGATCTGGGGTGGACAGAAATAATCTTTCTGATATGTGAGTTGAAACTGGAGCAGTTTCGGATTTTTGTGGTCAAAGGGTCGTGGTTAGAAGACGCACTCGTGTCAGATGTGGGAGCACAGATCCCTCTGCGGGCCGCCCCTCTGTGACCCCGGGGCTGTGCACTGAAGATTGGGGCGGCGGCGGGCTTTGGCTCCAGGCAGTGCTGACAGCCG